CCGACCTACCGACCTACCGACCTACCGACCTCCCGACCTACCGACCTACCGACCTACCGACCTACCGACCTACCGACCAACCGATCCGACCTACCGACCTACCCTACCGATTTGCCGACCTACCGACCTACCGACCTACCGACATGCCGACCTACCGACCTACCGACGTACCGACCTCCGACCTACCGACCCACCCACCCACCCACCCACCCACCCACCCACCCACCCACCCACCCACCCACCCACCCACCTACCCACCTACCTGCCTACCTACCTTCCGACCTACCTACCGACCCACCGACCGACCGACCTGCCGACCATCCAACCATCTCACCATCCTACCATCCTACCATCCTACCATCCTACCACCCTACCACCTACCTACCTTCCTACATCCCAACATACCGACATACATGCATACATGCATACGTACAAACATGCACACTTGCCAACGCACGTGCATGCATGCATGCCTGCCTGCATGCGCACAGTCTTGCATGAGTTCGTACATACATGCATGCATGCATGCGTGCATACGTACATGCATACTTCCATACATACAAAACGTATGCACACAGAACCAGAGGTCAATATGTACAGATGCGCGAATGCATACAGACATGCGTAGGTGCATACATTCATACTCATGGCCCAATCGATAAACAGTACAGATATATAGATATATTAGGTAGGTAGGTAGGTAGGTAGGTAGGAAGGTAGGTAGGTAGGTAGGTAGGTAGGTAGGTCGGTCGGTCGGTCGGTCGGTCGGTCGGTCGGTGGGTCGGTCAGTAGGTTGGTGGGTAGGTAGGTAGGTGGGTAGGTAGGTTGGTGGGTAGGTAGGTAGGTTGGTAGGTAGGTAGGTTGGTGGGTAGGTAGGTAGGTAGGGTAGGTTCTCCTCCGTTCCTCTCACGACACCTACACCAAAGGACAGGATTCTATCTCACCTTACAGACACAATCGAGGAAGAGACCCCAAATGCTGGACGGAGCTCGCTTTTCCTTGAATAAAATCAGATCACTACCAATGAAATAGAACGAAGGTGAACGGAAATAACTAAATCCTGTTTCTTTTGTACCATTAGAAGTACGTTGTAAAGAAAGAACAAATGAAGAGAATATTGTTTCGTTTTCCTACTTCGTTTCGTTCTCTACGCTCACACTTCTCGTTACCTACAACACTATCTTGACTGGTGAACGTGAGGAGATGATTAATGGGAATGAATAAAGAACGAATGGAATGGAAATTCGGTTGGTGGGTAGGTAGGTAGGCAGGTAGGTAGGTTGGTGGGTGGGTAGGCAGGTAGGTACGTACGTATGTATACATATGCTTGCACAGATGCATGCTGCATGTGTGCCTACATTCTATTGTTTGCCATGCAACAGGGGCGACTATCTGCTGCATCTTGCTCCTGGCGGGTGCCAGCGCATTGCTTGTTGGTTTTTCCCTGGGCCTCCGCTATGTGCTGGCGTACCTGACGTGCTGTTTCTGCAAGCCGCTGCCACCGGCATCCTGGGTGGATCAGGTCATGTTGCTCCACCCACTTCCGCCAGGCCGTCATTCTAGGTGTTGGCCTATGCTATGTGTCTACAGAGCTCCTCAGCTGCATGCGACGCAGGTTCTCCATACTTCACCACTGCTATGGTGGTGCGTGAGCCGATGAATGAAGACGAGCGGCAGAACGACCTCAAGCTGCAGGAGGCAGTGTGTCAGGGCGAAGCAGGTTACAGAAGAGTTCCGTGTCGGCTCAAGAGTCAAGAGGGCTTGGAAGAGTTTCGCGAGGTGACGCCGTTGGCCAGCTCCTTCGATGTAGACGAGGCTGCTCCAGTGCTTTTCCCACTCATGGAGCCACACAGATGTTCCGCAGTCCTGCTTTTGTGGTCTCTGTACGTTCGTACATGTCCTCGTGTATGCACACAGTTGTACTCGTACCTACGAGGGTGTGTATGTATAAGTACACACATAAACAAACATATGTTTCTATTCATTGAATACAGTACCTCCCTATGTGCCTGTGTGCAAGTGCATGCATACATGTTATAAACCACGAATGTCAGCGTAGTTCAGACTATGACTTGTCTTTAAGATTTTCATTATCGGTAATGGTACTAATGCTTTTTTTGCCCGGTGTATATGTATGCTTACTGCTGGCGGTTAGCATGTGTGGTGCGGTGGACTTAGTTCCAGCCGAGCTCCCGACATGCCTTCTATGCTGCCTGCATCGTTTCGTGTTCGTATTCAGGTTCGAGTGTCGCTGTCCTCAAGAAAATGGGTTGAGGCTGGTTCACAGGCATTGTCTAGACGACGGTTGCCACACCATTTGGCTTAGAACTTCACTTCGGAAGACTGAGAAACAGATCCGGCAAGCCTGACGGAAAGCGATTGGGAGAAGAGTCGTCAAAGCGATGCATGCAGACGGGGCCGATAAAGAGGGCAGAGGCATCAAAATTAAGAGTAGGCAGCCTGGTACAAATAAGGCTGCAGCTGGTGCCCGTGAAGGTTCGCTCATGTGCTGAGACACCGGGTTCTCAGATACCGAAAAAATCTCGCGAGGCACATATGTCTTCTGACTACACGATCTGGGAAGATCACCTGGGAATGCCGATGCACCTCCTGAACTATGCGTTTCCGGCATGGCCCGGGCCCGATACTGTAGCTTTTTCCCGCGTGGTTCCTGCGAATATCAGAGTATGCTAAAGGTGTGCTTCTCAGGTATACCATGACCTTCATCCCATCGGTGCTTATGACGACAGTGGCCTTGGCTTTTCTTCGAAGCAATGAAATTTTATTCGCAAAGTCTATGGCGGAGTCGGCGTGGAGCTCAGGGACTTTGCGGGTGTAGTAACAAGTCTACCAAGTCTGTGTAAGTCTGTGTGTGTGATCTACATCTCCTCGATCATCGATCGTTTCGTAGCGCATCAAAATGCCTGCCTGTGCAGTGGACCGGTGGGGAAGTACCTTCACAACGAAGAAAGGATAGACCCGACCAGGTACGGCGCAGGCAAAAGCACTTGCTATTCATGATCGTTGCTATTGGTTGTTGTTTCAACTTTTACAGATGCCACTTTGGAACTTTTGCAGTACGAACACGTACTTTTATCAGTTTCGGGAACCGTGCAAGCACAAAATAGGCTCGGAAACTTGCGCATGCTGAGAAGCCTAATGTCTCGACAGAATACAGGCACGAAAAGGTCCACTCCGACGAGTGCCCCTGTACATGTGACATGTATACAGACACGCATGCTCACCCACACACACACACACACGCGCACACGCAGACACAAGTGTACATAAACAAATAATGTGGAGATAGATAGAGTCCGGGTGCCCGTGGGAATACGCTTTTTGACGTTGTCTGATTATGCATTTTCTTGGCGGGTTGCTTTATGTTATGATTCTGTTGAGACATTCACATAATGTTTTGTCTTGTACAATCCATCAGAGAGCCAATGGTAGCACATATCCAAATATTGCTTGCGCTAATGCTGTCGGCATGGTGCAGCCACACAATACCTAGCATGTGGTCATATTCGCGGAAATTCTTTGTAGTACATTACACATTGCGCCTGTTCAAACGCCCTACTAGAACTACTGCATGTAAGCAGTATTCATGAGACTCTTGGGGCCTCGTTCTGTATGTATGTATGTATGTATGTATGTATGTATGTATATATATATATATGTATATAAGCTCGCCCCCCCCCCCCCCCCCCC